GGGATTAACTTCAGTTAGCATAATCTGCTCTAATGCCATCCATTTCCCTGCAAATGCCATGATCTTATTCTTTTTTAGTGCTGAGTAATATTCCATTGTGTATAAATGCCACATTTTTAAAAATTTTTAACCTATTCATCCACTGAAGGACATCTAGGTTGGCTCCACAGTTTAGCTATTGTGAATTGTGCTGCTATAAACATTGATGTGGCTGTGTCCCTGTAGTATGCTGTTTTTAGGTCCTTTGGGTATAGTCCAAGAGGAGGAATAGCTGGGTCAAATGGTGGTTCCAATCCCAGCTTTCCAAGGAATCTCCATACTGCTTTCCAAATTGGCTGCACCAATTTGCAGTCCCACCAGCAATGTATGAGTGTGCCTTTTCCCCTGCATCCTCACCAGCACTTGTTGTTGTTTGACTTCATAATGGCTGCCACTCTTACTGGAGTGAGATGAAACTCACTCATAAATGAAACTTGCATTTCTCTGATTGCTAGAGATGATGAGCATTTTTTCGTATATTTGTTGATTGATTGTATATTCTCTTCTGAGAAGTGTCTGTTCAGTTCTTTGACCCATTTGTTGATTGGATTATTATTATTATTATTTTGGTGCTTATCTTGTTCAGCTCTTTATAAATCCTAGGATGTAGGCTCCCTATTCACCTCACATATTGTTTCTTTTGCTGAGAAAAACTTTTTAGTTTGAATTCATCCCATGTGTTGATTCTTGGTTTTAATTCTTGTGCTATAGGCATCTTATTAAGGAAGTTGGGGTCTAGCCCCACATGATGGAGATTAGGGCCTACTTTTTCTTTTATTAGATGCAGAGCCTCTGGTTTAATCCTTGATCCATTTTGAGTTAACTTTTTGCATGGTGAAAGATAGGGATTCAATTTCATTTTGTTGCATATGGATTTTCAGTTTTCCCAGCACCACTTGTTGAAGTTGCTATCCTTTCTCCAGTGCATGCTTTTGGCACCTTTGTCTAATATAAGGTAGTTGTAATCTTGTGGGTTAGTCTCTGTGTCCTTTATTCTGTACCTTTGGTCTACCAGCCTGTTTTGGTGCCAAGTACCATGCTGTTTTTGTTACTATTGCTCTGTAGTAAAGTTTAAGGTCTGGTATAGCGATATCACCTGTTTCACTCTTCCTGCTTAGGTTGCTTTAGTTACTCTGGGTCTTTTATTTTTCCAGATGAATTTCATGATTGCTTTTGCTATTTCTATGAGGAATGCCATTGGGATTTTGATCGGAATTGCATTGAACCTGTATAGTGCTTTTGGTAGCATGGTCATTTTAACAATATTAATTCTGCCTATCCATGAGCAAGGTGGCACTTTCCATCTTCTAAGGTCTTCTTCTATTTCTCTCTTCTTCTATTTCTGTAGTTTTCATTATATAGATCTTTCACTTCTTTTGTTAAGTTGATTCCCAGGTATTTATTTATTTATTTTTTTGAGGATATTGTGAATGGGGTAGTTTTCCTCATTTCCTTTTCAGAGGACTTGTCACTGATATACAAAAATGCCTTTGTATATGGGTGTTGCTTTTATGTCCTGCCACTTTGCTGAATTCATTTACTGGTTCTAGAAGTTTCTTGGTAGAGTTTTTTGGGTCTTCTAGGTATAGAATCATATCATCAGCAAATAGTTCTAGTTTAAGTTCTTCTTTTCCTATAGTTATTCCTTTAATTTCTTTTGTCTGTCAAATTGCTCTGGCCAGTGTTTCAAGGACTATGTTGAATAGAAGTGCTGAGAGAGGGCATCCCTGTCTTGTTCCAGATTTTAGAGGGAATGCCTTCAATTTTTCTCCATTTAGAATGATGCTGGCCTGAGGCTTAGCGTAGATAGCTTTTAAAATGTTGAGGTAAGTTCCTGTTATCCATAGTTTTTCTAGTGTTTTGAACATAAAGGGGGATAAATACTGGGGATGGAGCCCAGGGGCCCTCAACCACTAAGCTACATTCCCAGCTCTTTTTTGTATTTTATTTAAAGATAGGGTCTCCCTGAGTTGCTTAGGGCCTTGCTAAATTGCTGAGGCTGGCTTTGGTCCTCCTGCCTCAGCCTCCCCAGCTGCTGGGATTACAGGTGTGCACCATCATGCCCAGCTCATATGCCTTCTTATGTGATGCTATGAGAAGTGTGTAGCACCATGTTTAGACTATTCTTGTCAAAAACACTTCACTTAGACATAATCAAGTCTTTAGAACTAACTACATTTATACAAAAATACAAGAGAAATAGAAACTGATGAAGTAACATCATAAGTAAAGAATCAGATAAATTCAGAATGTCAGACATTTAAAAAAACTCAGTCTCTTCAGAAACCAAATTTCTGGAACACACACTAATACCACTATGTTTGTAGGCAGACTGTATTTGTGCCAAGGTGTCTACCTTGAGTCCCTGGGGTAGTCACTGAGGCCAATAAACTCCTTTCTCCAAATGTTTTGAAATGCATAAGATTACAAAATGAAAGTATAAAATAAAATAATTATGTTGAAATATAGCTATTAAGATACTTTAAAATATGGTAGGTACATACTTCATTATGAAGGCATTAAATAACAGGTGCTAACAGCAGGTCTAATAACAGTGATTTCAAAGTAGTGGCGAATGTAAATGATATTTCTGAGATACGTGCAAGAACTGTGATTTCTACAAGCGACAGAGTCACAGGTGCTGCTGATTATTGTAGATCGTTACCTTCATTTATAATGAAAGAAAATGTTAAATATCTATTAGAATTTGGAGAAAATAAAGATGTCATTTTCCCCCCATTCAAGTTTATGAACTGTTTGAATTACATCCACCGCCTTCTAGAATAAGAACTTCAGGTCACCTGGTGTGGTGGTCCAAGGTTGTAATCCCAGCAGCTCTGGAGGACCACTGCCCCTGAAGCTCTCCTGGCAGACACCACTAGAGAGGCCACTGGAGGTGGCTTCACAGTCAGCCTTGTTCTCTCAGATTCCTTTTTCTTTTATGGTAAAAGAAAACAAACAAAAAAAACCCAATAGAAATGGGATAGAGAAAAATGTACACACCAAATGGTGGGTAAGTAAATGGGGTGAAATAAACAATTCCTCAAGTTTTTGCCCTGAATTCCATATTTCTGATTTGCTGCACCATGAAAACCTAAATATTTAAATATCACCTGTGTAATAAAAACATAAAGCCAAAAAAGTTAGCTTAAATATAAATACAGAAAAAACACCAAGAGGGTGCTAGGAGAAGGAAACTCAGATACTCAAACATCTTTATGGGAGGAACTGGGCAGATGAGGGATATAGGTGGGAAAACCGACTTTCACTTTTTTTTTTCTGGTACTGGGGATCTAACCCGGGGTGCTTTACCATTGAGTAAATACTCAGCTTTTAATTTTTTTTTTTTAAATATTCTTCTAGCTGTTGATAGATCTCTTTTTATTTATACACAGTGCTGAGAATCCAACCCAGTGCCTCACACATGCCAGGCAAGCGTGCTATTGCTGAGCCACAGTCCCAGCCCCAGCTTTTTAAATTTTGAGACAGGGTCTTACTAAGTTGCTGAGAGCCTCACTAATTTGCAGGGGCTGGCCTTGAATCCCTGATCCTTCTGCCTTCGCTTCCCGAGTCGCTGGAATTACACGTGTGGGCTACCACCCTCCTCAGCTCCTTTCTAAAATTTTGAATTAAGAAAGTACGTATTTGATACTCCAACTTTTTTTTTAGAGTACTGGAGTAGTTTTGGTGTGAATGGTCACAGAGGTTCTTCCCCTTTTTAGAATACTGGAAGGTCTAGTAGACACAAGCTGGTGTATATTCGACTGCAATAATGAAATGTTTTTTGTAGGCTTTTGAAGACAAAGAAGGAGTTGTGTTAAAAGGAGAACGAAGAAGAAATTAGTGTCAAAAAAGGAGAGGCATCCGAAATGGGAGGGTGCAAACATTCCCCCCTTCAGGGGAAGGTTTTTCTTGTTTTGGTACTGGGAATTGAACCCAGAGGTGCTTTACCTCTGTGTTCCATCCCCAACTCTTTTTATTTTAAGGCAAGGTCTGTTGCTTAGGGCCTTGCTAAATTGCTGAGGCTGGCCTCCTATTTTGGTCCTCCTGCCTCAGCCTCCGGAGCCTCTGGAATTACAGGCAAGCACAGTCACGCAGGGCTAGGGGGGTAGGTTTAGAAAAGCCCAGGTTTAGAAAAACCTGTGTAAAGCAGGTATGTAAGTAGGGAGCTGTGAAAGCACTTAAATTCCCAACTCAAGATTGGTGTTTACTCCTTGTTGGCACAGTGCTAAGCCTTTGCTTGTAACACAGGGAGGAAACGGCCTGATATTTTGCAGCAGAGCCAACTGGGGGGGTTGTGATCAGGGGAACAACATGAAGAAACCAGTTTGCATTGTGTGTACATCTCAGATAAGACAGGATGGCAAAATAGGGGGCCGACCCACCAGGTAAGGAGCCCCGACCTTGGCACCATGCACGATGGCCTCTTCCGGTGAGCACTAGGGTGAGGGAGACGCAGGAGCCAACAAATGGCCACAAGCCCCCTAAAGAGCCAGGGGGTGGGCTTCCTGTACAACGAACGTTCCAGAGGCAGGCCTCATCACTGCCGCTAAAGCTGCCCTACGTAGACACCGCCGAGAGGCCGCCCTGTTCTCTCTGGCCACTTCAACACCCAAGTCTGTGTGGCTTTATTTTGTTGCGGGGACGCGCACCGGGTCTTTGCCGTTCTTTCGTCCTGGAGGGTCCAGTGCCTCACTCACCCAACCCCCACCCCGCCCTAACGACGCACACAATCAGCTCCGGGCTCCAACAAGCCGGAACGGCGTGGGGAGAGGCGACTCGAGGTGGAGGAGGGGCGCCCGGCCCTTCCCCCGGCTGCACTTCAACGGACTCGGAACTACGCATCCCGGCGTGCCCCGGGACAGCGCGGGCGCAGGGGCGCGTGCGCGGCGGGCAGCCGTTGGCTGGAGCGGCGGATGCGCGGGTCGCTGTGTTGTGAGGTCTACGGGCGCTGGCAAATCCGGCCCAGGATGTAGAGCTGGCTGTGCCTGACGGCGCGTCTGACGCGAAGTTGGGTGGGGTAGAGAGTAGGGGGCGGTAGTCGGGGGTGGTGGGAGAAGGAGGAGGCGGCGAATCACTTATAAATGGCGCCCAAGCAGGACCCGAAGCCGAAATTCCAGGAGGGTGAGTCTGTGCCCTTGGGAAAAGGCATCTAACGGCGCAGGGGAGGGAGGCGGGCTCGGGAAGGTCGAGGCTTGCGGGCCGGGCGAAGCGCGAGCCGCGCCCAGAGAAGGCGGTGGGCTTTGCTTTGTGCAGGGAAAGCGCATTGCAGAGGGTGAGTTTAGTGCGTCATCTGGAAAAAGGTTTTGTGAAGCGAAAGGATAGCTACGGCTTCAGAGTGGAGAGGGAGCGCTTAGCGCGTGGCAAGGCCTTCGTGCATGTTATTGTTCTGAGGAAGAGGGCGCGGAGAAAGCAGTCTATTGTAGGGAGGCGACTGGGGCGCGATGGCGACGGTTAGGGGAAGTGATGTGGCGGTGTGTGTGGGGGAGCGGCGCCTGTTTTGCGAGCTCTCGCCAGTTGCCTGGCCTCGTGGTCGGCAACGGCTGGCGGTCCCGGGCCGTCTGGAGTACCCTCAACCCTCCTCGGCATGGTTGAAAGTTCGGTGGAGACATGTTGTTGTGGAGCGTGGGGGTTGGTTTGGCGCCCCGGGGCGGGAGAACTGCGTTGTAAAATGGCCGCTGCAAGATGGCCGCGCCATCATGGCCGCTGGCGTGTCGGCGCCGCTTCAGGGCAGATGCAGCGCCCCCTTGCACCGTGACCTCGCGCAGACCCGGTGCTAACGTTTACCTCAGTGGTGGGTGGGGATTAAGGGGGAAAAAAATCCCGAGGAGCGGGTCGGGCGTTTCCGTCAGTTTGGTGTTGCCTGGAGGCATCACTTTAGCTCACCCGAGAGCTCCGCGCCTAAATCCTAAGGTAAAGTGAGTGCGCTCTTCCTGTGCGGTCGCTCGTAAAAAAAATAATTAAAAGCGACTTCAGTGTTAAGGGCTAAGTCCCTGGTCTTAACGTGATTTTTAAAAAATACAGCAGTTTGACCAGTTGCAGTAATATTTGATTCACAATAATTGGAAAGCTTATTGATTATTATTTTGGATTTACTGACGTTAGAATCTGACTTCCAGTGAAGATAGCTCTTCCAGAGCTTCCAGCCCATCTATTTGGGTAGAGATTTAAGATTAAACTGAAAAGGAAGTAAAACTGTAAGCAAAGAGGAACGCTGTAAAACTGCCTTTCTCTATGGATGTACATGCCAGTTACCGTTAAGTTCCATGTCCAAACGCTTGCATAATTTTCTCATTTAAGATTTTTCAAAAATTTTTTGATATATATATTTTAGTTTTTAGTTGTAGTTGGACATAATCCCTTTATTTGTTTTTATGTGGTGCTGAGAATCGAACCCAGGGCTAAGTGAGATAAGTGCTAAGTGAGCGCTCTATGGCTGAACCCCAGCCCAGAGTTTTCAGATTTTTAATGCGTTAAAATTACTTCCACGAATCCTAAAACCCAAACAAGTATATTGAAACTATGATGTATTTAAGGGGCTTCAGCGGGTGTTTTCGGTGATAGGTGGCCATTAATATTTGTTTCTCTCATTTGGGTAGACTTTTTATAGATTTCTTCATTCTTCTAAGTGATTCAGAACAAGGTTTTTGTTTTTGTTTTGTTTTTTTAAATGGTATTGGTTTTGAACCCAGGGCCTCACATATGCCAAGCAAGCGCTTTACCACTAGTCAGTGGGTATAATGAAAATGGTCTGTGAATTTGAATGGGGAAAATATTGTGTTTATCATCTAGCTGAAATTTATTATTTCAATTATCAATTTACATCCTCTCCACAAAAGAAAACAGAAGTATTAGCTGTTCGTTTTTATGTTTCACTGTTACCTGAAAAATGTATGAAGCTATTGCTTTTGGTATTGGATATGGAACCCAGGGGCCCTTTACCACCACTGTGTTGCATGTCCTTTAAATTTTTTTTTTTTTTAAGTTGCTGAGGCTGATGTGGAACTTGGAATCCTCCGCCTCATCTTCCCTAGTTGCTGGGATTACAGGCATGTGCCGCCGTACCTGGCTTATTATTAAGATGTTATTTATGCTCATTGCTTCAAAATTATGGTAGTTAATTGGCTTAGCAGTTAAATCTTGTTTACTGCATTAAATAAGGGACTCCCTAATATTAGAGAAAGCAATGTTTAAAATAGCTTTGAAAACTGCTTCAACAGTTGTTTTCCTTTGTAATTTGGTGTGTTTTATGTATTTATTAAAATATTCTGAGAGGTCATAAAGCTTCACCAGGCTGTCAGTACAAAAACTTAATAGCAGAATCCCTCCGGAGGGGCAATCAAGGGTGTCCATTTTGGAGGAAGGAAGTGCTTTAGTTCTAGAAGGATGTTAGAGTGAGGTGGAGAATAACAGCTAACCAGAATCCCTGTGCTGGTTATATTGGTGTAATTGGAGAAGAGTAGGAACAAAGACACCCCTGGGCAAGATTGTGAAAGCTATTTAAGGTCTTTTACATTTACAGTTATTTTCCAGGTATGTTTTCACTTGAAATTCGGAGCTGAGTTGTATAACCTTTGAGAAATTTTAAGATGTTAAGAGAATATTTTGAAAAAATATTTAGTGCTAACAAGATTATCTTGAAATGCCGTAGAAGAGTAGAAATAAGAATTGTCATAAAATGTCCCCCCCCCAATTCTTTTAATTTTTTTATTTATGTGGTGCTGAGGACTGAATCCAGGGCCTTTTGTATGTAAGGCAAACACTATCCTTAGCTACAACCCCAGCCCCTCTCCCCCCAAATTCTTATAAATGCAGAAGTTTTTCCTTACACGGTAAAATATATTTTCCATTAGCAGTTTAAGCAGAGTGACTTTTTTGCACAGAACTTGGTCTTCTACTTGAAGTTCTGTTAAAGCATAGGATAGCACTGTGTCACAGGCCTGTAATCCCAGTCACTCCAAGTGACTCTGTAGGCTGAGACAGAAGGATGGCAAGTTGAAAGCAGGTCTGGGCACTGAAGTGAGACCCTGTCTCAAAGTGAAAGGGTTTGGGATGTAGCTCAGTGGTAAAGCGCCCTTGGGTTCAATCCACAGTACCCCCCCCCCCCCCCCATGGGATAAAAAAAATCGTGGACATCTAGTCATTGTTTGAGGGAAGACTGACTGTCGGGAATTAAGACACTGAGTGATGTTCCTAGAAAGTTCCTACCAGTGGGAGAATGGAAAACTTTGAATTTGACAGCATTTGGGCAGAATTATCTTTGTAGTTTGATATTGGAGAAAGTTTCCTATCTGATAACAGTGGGTTGCTGGTTCCCCAATCTTTTTGTCCATTGCCAAGAAAAATAGGCTTTTTTCTTTCTTTTTAAATCATGGTTTATACTCCTCAGGTAGCTGTTATGTTTTTTCAACTAAATATTATGGATAGGTAACTAGAGATCCAAGAGGGCCTCAGTGCAGTAGTTTTGGTATCAGCAGTCAAGATTTTTTTTTAAAAGTATGCCATTTCAGAACGCCTTGAAAATATATCTGGAAAGTGAAATGAGATCCATGTATGATCTTTGGTGCTAAAGTTTATTAGCAGAGTAGTTTACCCATTTTGGTTCTTGTCCTTGGGATGTTGGAGAAGTTTTTGACTAATCTATTTCTTCACCTTAAAATTCAAGCTGGATATAAGCCCAGTAGCCTCTAGCAGTAATTCTTCAAAGAGGAACTGCACAAAGATTTTATGAGAATTTTGATTTGAAAGTGAAGTTACTGCAGAGTCTAATAAGAGATTCTATCTCTGGTGAGGCTTGAAATTAAATACATAGTTGAAAAATACTCTACAAGATCTCTGATTAATTTTGGGAATTCTTTTGTAGGATGAAATTCAGACTTCATAGCATGACCTATATGATGTTTCATATTTCATAATCTGTGACTTTCACATGTTTATCCTGTGTTCCAGGGGTAGTGAACTGCAAAGTATTTCTGATAGTGGTTAACACTTCAGTGCTTTTGTAGAGTTGTTTACACTATCTTCTTCGTGACTCTCCCAAGTAGCTCATTAGGCATTCTCTCTATTGCTTATGAAGGTAGTTACTGCAAGAAATCCAGGAAATTGTACAAACCTATTTGTCTAGGTGTGAGGGTCCTTTATTAATCTGTCAGTGCCTTGTACAATAGGTCACATACAAACCCAGATAACTGTATTGAGAAATATTAAGATATGTTGTGGAATTAACTATTTCAGATTGAAGGTATATCCATAAATCACGTTTTTCTTTTAAAGCTATGCTTTAAAAGCAATACCATGTAATTTTAAAATGGTGGCACCTATAGTTAACTAGAATTGGTCTAGTAGGTTATTTCAGTTTTTACAGCTAAAGCAGTTTGACCCTGTTGAATACTTTAATTGCCTCTGGATGTGTTGAAACCAAATGGACAGAAAATTGTGTGAGATCTTTCTGTTACATACCAAGTGTAATCTGAGGCAATTACCAGAAATATCCAGCATGATTTGTTTTTTCTGTAGAGATGTCTCATCCAATAGCACTCTTGAGATTTTATATGGTTTTATTATTCTAATGATGAGCTCAATATATAGTGTAAGTTCTAAAGGTGAGGATTTTGTCTATTGTTTTGTTCATTGTACATTAATGAACATATTTGAGGAATGAACGCAGATAGCTATGCCTTAAAATTCCAGCCAACTTGCATGCACATTGAAATTTCAATGTGTAGACTATTTTGCTAAGTAAAAGCATGGGAAGTAGAGATGTAGGTGGAGGTTTAAATTCCTAAAACTTGCAAAAATACATGAAAAAGCATTTTAAAAATTGGATTCCTGGGGCTGGAGTTGTAGCTCAGTGGTTGAGCGCTTGCCTAGTATGTGTGAGGTACTGGGTTCCATCCTCAGCAGCACATAAAAATAAATAAGATATATATAACTTAAACAAAACAAAACCCTGGATTTCTCAATAATACTGTTAGAACAAATTGACCATCCTTCTCAATAGGTAGCTGCAGTAAATAATTATTTGCTTAGCGGTTGATGATTTAAATAAATTGCTAACACTAATTGTTTTGATTTATCTTATATGCCCTGGCATAAGTTTATGGTGAAGTTTAATCTGAAGTGTTACTCCCTTTTTTACCCATTTTTCCTAATATTGCTAGGATTATCATAATAAAATGTGATGGTTCTCAGATTTGAATCTATATATGGAAAGGGTTTAGAATTAATGGAATATTTTTCACTTTTACAGGTGAGCGAGTGCTGTGCTTTCATGGGCCTCTCCTTTATGAAGCAAAGGTATGAAATCTTCCTTTTGAGAAGTTGGCCAAAACTATTGGTTAAATCTGACTTCTAATATCAAATTTCAGTGTTTTCTTTGTTGGGTTCAGTAGGAGAGTTGCTTTTTTTTCATTGATTGCACCTTCCCCCCCTTTTTTTGTTCTGGATTTCTTACTATTTAGTGGGTCAAACAAGTTAAAACATTCTTACTCATGGTATTTTACCTAACTTACAGAAGACTCTTTAGGTAAAGTAGCCTTTGAGGAAAATGATAGAAAGTGAAGGTTGATTGTGGGAGGAAATAGTATTATGTAGTTAATAAGGGAGGGCTGCCAGTTACTTTTATATACAAATATAATCTACTGAGTAAGATTGATATTTTGAGTGTTATTTTGAGCTGATTGTTTTATAAAAATTTAGCTGATTGTTTTGTGTTAAAGATAACTGACAATACTAAAAACAGTATACTTATTAGTGCACTGGCTTCTTTTAAAACCTGGCAGGTGTGCTCCCTCCTTGATCATTGTGTGCTCAGGTTATAAAAACCAGTATAGTACATTTAGCCAAAGATAAATAATGCATTTTGTTTAATTAATTTATTTTTGTGGTGCTCAGGATTGAACTCTAGAGTCTTGTGTATGCTGGGCCAGCACTCTATCATTGTGCTACACATCCTCAGCACTTTTTTGTGTGAAGAGGGGAGGAAGGCAGGTTTTTTTTGGGGGGGGGGTTGTGTGTGTGTTTGTTGCTGAGGCTTGAACCCAGGGCTTTGTGCAAGGCAAGCACTCTACCAACTGAGCTATATCCCCAGCCCCCTGCAGGTTTTGTTTTGAGATGCCATTTCCCTAAATTGCCCAGGCAGGCCTACAACTTGGAATCTTTCTGCCTTACCCTTCTGAGTGGCTGGGATTAAGGCATGTACCATTGTACTCAGTCAAAAAATGTTTCGTTTCTGATAACTTCCTTTTTTTTGGATACTGGGAATTGAATTAAACCCAGGGGCGCTTAACCAGTGAGCTACATCCCCATCCCTTTTTATTTTGAGAGAGTTTTGGTAAGTTGCTGAGGCTGATGTCAGACTTTCAGTCCTCTTGAGCAGTTGGGATTACAGGCTTGAGCTGTACCTGGGCTTCTGATAACTTTTTTTTTTTTTTTTTTTTTTAAGTACAAATTTTTCCTACTAACAAATAAGTAGGGGATTGAACCCAGGGCCTTGCCTGCCACTGAGCTATAGCTGCAGTACAAGACACACATCTAAACACTTTAGTGTACTTTTTATAGCAGTAGTTTTAAAAGTTGAACATAGGGTTGCTGATGTAACTCAGTGCTTGTCTAGCATACTCAAGGCCCTGGGTTGAATCCCAGTACCACCAAAACTGAGTGGGGGGAACCTATATGCAATTATAAAAAATACAAAATAGTATGATGTTCAAAGGCCATTTCTACATAAATATCTGGTGAATAGTTTATCTTTGTGAAAATATTCTTAGCATAATTATAAATTGTCAGTTCTTTGCTAACCATTTTCACTTTTTGTTATTTGTGTTTTGAATGAATAGATAATATGTTTATAAAATTACTAATCCTGTTAAAGATTGATATTTTGAGTGTTATTTCTGTTTTAGGAACTTACGTTCAACTTTAAACTGGTTGGGTTTTCTCTCTGGCAATAAAATACTTCTAGCAAATAACTTTTTAAATGGCTATTGAATTAACTTAATTGTGGTTTGTTTGACTTCCTTTTGAACACTTTTAAATCCAAAACCAGATAATCATCACTTGTCAGAGTTAATGACTAATAATTGGTTTTGATTTGATTTTTTTTTGAAGGAATTTAGAGCTGTTTTTTGAAACAAATCAGCATATTGCCTTTCATAAGCTAATTAAATCATTTTGAAATGAAGTTCCTGAATACAGTTTTTTTTTTTTAAAGCCCAATTACAGCTTTCATTAGCTGTACTTGGATAGCTTACCTTGCTTACCTAGCTCATTAATTTTAAATTTTGGGGTAACCTTTTATGCTATGGGCCTTTTGCCCGACAAAATTTACAATTTTGTAACTCAAGTTCTTTAAAATCTTAGTGTTTAGAGTCAATTTTTGTTAGTCAAAAAGTTTGTGTAGTTGTCCTTGAAAGATTGGATACTTCAAAATTATTTAGGAAGTGTCTCTCTTGTTTCTTAATATTTCTAAGTGAATTTGTCTTTTTTTCATTTCAGTGCGTTAAGGTGGCCATAAAGGACAAACAAGTGAAATACTTTATACATTACAGTGGTTGGAATAAAAAGTGAGTATTAGATTTTTTAAAAGCAATTTTTGTGATGTTTTAATGTAATATAGTATGTTTTGAAGCAAGGGTAAGCCATTTGTAATATGAAGAAACTATTCGAAATGAGAGTTACTAGGCCTTTCATTTCATTTGTTTATTTGCAGGATTGAACCCAGGAACATTCTAGTTCTGACCTGTATCCCAGCCCTTTTTGTTTTGAGACAAGGTCATGATAAATGTCAAGGCTGGCCTTGACCTTGATCCACCCATCTCAGCTTCATTAGCTGAGATTATAGGCGTGCACTGGTAACCATTTTATTTTATAATGTATGTGAGTTTTGGAAGAATTTCTTAGGTTCTAGTGTGGTGTCAAATAGTGGTTGAATGATGAGTGGAAGCAGCCCATTTTTTTACAGTTTGGTATATTTTAGGGTAGCCTTTTTTGGCCTTAGCATCAACCCAATGACTATATGTATATTTCAAGCAGTTAGACTCAGAACTAGTTGGGTTTTTCTGTTTGAAAAAGGAAACAGTATAAAAGTTGGTTTGAAAATGTGACAGAATTGATCAACCCATTTTTGTGAGGTTTAGAAATATCGTGGGGCCCACAAATAATTTCATTTTAATAAATTTATTTGGGCCTTTTATAATTTTTACTATGAGAGGTTTTTAATTACTTTTATTAATGATGTTCTTTGCTTAAAAAATAACATAACTAACCAGGAACTAGTTATTTAGGAGTTGTTTCTAGTAACTTAATGTTTTGTGTCATCTGACCCAGGCATGGTGCTGTTGCTTTGGAAAATTTCTACTAAATTTATTGGCACATTGTCTTTGATCTTTTATACAGTCTTCTGTCCAGGTGACCAACCCAGCACCCTTCCCCACCACAAAGCTATACCTGTTGCTTATTTAAATTTTTATTTTGTTTATTTTTTTAAAAAAACATGGAATGTGGGCTGGGGATGTGGCTCAAGCGGTAGTGCTCGCCTGGCATGCTTGCAGCCCGGGTTCAATCCTCAGCACCACATACAAACAAAGATGTTGTGTCCGCCAAAAAACTAAAAAATAAATATTAAAAATTCTGTCTCTCTCTCTCTCTCTCTCACCTCTCTCTTTAAAAAAAAAATGGAATGTGGGCAGGGATTGTGGCTCAGCAGTAGAGCGGGTGGGACCCAGGTTTGATCCTCAACACCACATAAAAATAAAGTCATTGTGTTGTCCATCCACACCTAAAATAAATAAATAAATAAATATTTTTTTAAAAACATGGAATGCTTCACAAATTTGTGTATCATTCTTGGGCAGGGGCCATGTTAACCTCTTATATTGTTCTAGTTTTTTTAGTATATGTGCTGCAGGAGCAAACACTTAAAAATATTTTGAAATGGAGTCTTCCTAAGTTGCTGAGGCTGATGTTGACTTTTGGATTCTCTTGCCTCAGCCTTCTGAGTCACTGGAATCATAGGCATGTACCACTGTGCCCAGCTAAATTTATTTCATTAGGAAAAATTTTTTATATGTTAAATATTCTTTGTTAACAGGGAATATTAGACCTTTAAATTCCATTGGTACAGCTGTGGAAAGGTAGAAATCTAAAATGCATGAATGTACGTTCTGATAACTTTTTGAGTTTTCTTTTTTAAATGAGAAGGTATGTTTTATTTTAGTGGAATATGATTTACATACATTAGTGCACAAATTACACATGTAACCTACTGTATTAAGTGAGAAAGTTAGCATAGAAAAATTCTCTCATGTTAATGATAAAGTGTTTCTAATAAGTAGGCAATATTATTACTTGTGATCTTATTGACATTTAAAATACTGAGGAATTAGGAAAATAATGGAGAAAACTCTTTTGGTGTTTAGAATGTAAACTGATTTTAAATTGATATGCAGAAACGGGAAAATTCATCTTGATCCTGGTGTATCTCATAGCTTTCTCTCCATTTTAAAAAATGAGTGTTAAAACTGCATTTTAGTTTTCAGTTACTTTTTTGATATAATACTGATACTCAGTTAAATTGAGAGTGGTAGTTAATAATGAGACTCTCCATTCTCTATGGGAAAGAAAATGTGCATTTTGCGAGTGTGGGAAAGTTCAAAGTCCATTCAGGAAATCAAAAGCAAAGCAAATTTATGGGTAGAACTACTTTTCCCTACTTCTCAGCTTTTTTTTTGCTTGTTTTAGTTGTAGGTAGACATAATACCTTTATTATACTTATTTATTTTTATGTGGTGCTGAGGGTCAAATCCAGTGCCTCACATGTACTAGACAAGCACTTGACCACTGAGCCACAAACCCAGCACAATCTTGTGCACTTTTTAAAAAAAACATTTATTTTTTTAGTTTTAGGTGGACACAATATCTTTATTTTACTTTTATGTGGTGCTGAGGATTGAACCCAGTGACTTATGCATGCTAGGCCAGCACTCTACCACTGAGCCACAACCCCAGTGCCCAACCTCTCACACTTTTAAAGAACTGTTTAGGATTTGACTTTAATAGCTGTGAATGATTTTTGTGCTTAACTCTTTTTTCGTATATAATATACAATAAAGTATATATAAATGTACTTTTCTTATGTAATAAAGTATTCTGTATAAAATTACACATAGATGTGTATAGTTCAATGACTGGATTTTAAGTGGCTTTTGTACTTCCTCAGAGATCGTGAAAATACCAACTACTTGTATTTCCTGACTTCACTGTTTAAAAAAACAATCATTTTTCCCATTTGATGGATTATAGTCCAGAAATAAATGAATGGTTGGTTTCTGTAGATGTTTTTTATCCCCCACTTCAGGAAATTTAAAGAAATGTCATTATATGTCAGTTTTTTTTTTTTGTTATTGGTTTTCTTTCTTTCTTTTTAGTTATACATGACAGTAGAATGTATTTTGACATCATACATATACATGAGCATAACTTTCCATTTTTGTGGTTTTACATGATATGGAGTTACATTGGTTGTATGTGTGAACAATACATATGTGTTACATATGTGAACATAGGAAAATTATGTCTGATTAATTCTACTGTTCTCCCATTTCCATCACTTCTCCCTTGTCCCCACTCCCCGCAATAGATATTAGGCTTTTTTTCTCCCTGTCTCCATAGGTCTATTGAAGTATATTATTGTATTGGAGATGTATTTTTTGTGGTTGAATTTGGTATATAAACATAATTTTGAAAATTGATCTTTAAGGAAGCAGGTGGAAACTCTTAAATCCACTTTGAAAGGTGGAGGAGTTAATCAAATGCCCAGCAGTATGTTGTGTTTTTAATACTTTTTATATTCTGCTCATGGATTGTGGCTTTGAGAATTAGTCACAAGCTACCTTAGAAAATTCTGAGATTCTTTTATGCTTGACCTAAAAAATTTTTGCGCGTGTTTGGCCTCCATTTTTTTATTCTTGTGAGGTACTCCTCAGAGCAGAGGATGTTGTCCATTTCATTTTCCTTGGTTTTGGCAAGAATTTTCAGCTCTTAACCTATAAAGGGAACTAGTATGACTTGGCTTTTACATCAAGGTGTGTTCACTGTGTACATTTTGGGGGAAGGGATTTGTAAGTCTCTAAAATGTATGGCAAATAACAATTAGCTCCCTTTGATTTATGGAGAATTGAAATAGATATAAATGTATACTTTAAAAAAAAGATTTTTCATTTTAAAATGGTTTGTAGGCTCTCTTAAAAAATAATTCCACAAAACTTAAATCCCCAAATTGAAATTTTCTTAAATTTTAGTTTATGTATACTTTCACAAGCACAATAGAATACTAAGATATATCTAAATTTTCAAAAACCTTATTGGAATTCGTTGACACAGACATTTAAATATTCCATTTGTAAATGAATCTTACTTAATAAAGCTTAAGCTAAATTCTGCACCTAGTTACTGAGATTACTTTGTACTATGCTATCTGTATCAGAAGTGCTGTGAGGCCCAGGCGCTCTGAAAAAACTTTGAAGACACGTGAGGATATTGTAGCCCTTTTTCCTGTTCCTGAAGGAGCTCCCTCAGTACACCACCCCCTCCTGACCTCTAGGTAAATGCATGTTTTAAAGTTTTCTCTAGGAATGGTGTTGAGGATTGCTTTTTATTTATTTTTCCTTTGGCTATATTCTATAAGAGGTCAGAGGTGGGAAATTGTTAAAGATATTGCTTTGAGAACACACCTAATTGTGTCACTAAAGGAGCTCCATCAGCAGGAGAAAAGGCTCACTTTGTTCCAAAAGTTCATCATTCCCTAAGAAATATTGTCCTTAAATGAACACCAGCAGAAGTGCCAGAATGCCTTGTCAACATTATAATAGAGTGATTCTATTCTACCTTTTAGTGTTTAAATAAATCCTCTGGTCAGCTTGGAAATTTGTGTATTCATATGTGAGTGAATGAAAATAGAGTGGTATAATCTGATAAATCATTGTAATACTTTAATGTACAAACTTACTTGAGTAATCTAGATGGTGAGTGTTGGTAGAGTTTCTAATGTGTTTCTGACATACTGTGTTTTTTGTCAGGGATACTGAAGTATTTTGCATGCTATCTCATAATAACCCTATGAGATATAGGTACTTAATATCTAATTATCCCCCATTTTACAGGTGGTGAAAATAAGTCAGAAAGCTGTGTGATTTAGTTATTACACATAAGTAGCAAGATATTGATTTTAGGGTTTTTTGTTTGTTTCTTTGTTTAGGTCAATTTATTATGAACTTTTTTTCTTTCTTTCTTTCTTTTTTTTTTTGGTGCTGGGGATTGAATACAGGGCTTTGTGCATGGCAGACAAGCACTCTACTGAGCTGTATCCCCAGCACCTATTATGAACTTTTGTTTCATCTTTGGCAGTTGAAAAATTTTAAGATATTTTCGTCCATAGGCTAATTGCTTAGACAGTCTTTAGCTATTTCTAAAACTGATTTGAATAATCTTTTAAATTTGGAATGCTATTTCTCAGAATATGAAGTTTTCCTTCTTTACAAAACAACTTTAAATAGATTTTCATTTTAGTTGAGAATGGATTTGTAGTATCATTTCCCATTATTTCAGAAATCCAAGGACTTGCTTCTTGGATCTTTAAAAATTAATTGGAGGATAGAGTCTGAATCATCATGAAAATGTTTTGAATAATATCTTTATTCCTTTTCAGTTGGGATGAATGGGTTCCAGAGAGCAGAGTGCTCAAGTACGTGGACACCAATCTGCAGAAACAGCGAGAACTCCAAAAAGCCAATCAGTAAGTTTGTTTTGAGAAATGAATATAGAAGTGAAATGTCTGTAAATTAGATTTGGGACAAAGAATGAGCAATGGGAATCAATGTTGGCTGCCTGCCTGCCTATAAAATGCTTATTGGTACGTGTCAGTGGTTGGGTTATGCCTTTGACTTCAAGTAATCAGACAAGCCTTTTCTAGGTAAAGGAAATAGCAACCTGTCATTGTTTGCATCTGTCTTTAGAGGTTGGTTGAAAACACAGCTGCATGTAGTTGGGAATTGCTATAGGTATAAACTCATTGCTAAAACTACAGTAAGACTACTGTCTTACCTCTTGAGCTCTGTGGAAGGCACAGTTGGTGGGGGAAACGATGTATTCCTGTTATTACACATCCCTGGGAACAGGGCAGAAGGGATTTATTTATTTATTTTAGTTTTCGGTGGACCAACATCTTTATTTTTTATTTGTATGTAGTGCTGAGGATCAAACCAGCGCCCTGCGCATGCCAGGCCAGTGTGCTACTGCTTGAGCCACATCCCCAGCCCTCATTTACTTTTAAAGCTGAAGTGTGTACTAAAAATATTGGAATCAAATTAAAAGAAAACATTGGGATTAGTGAATTTTAAAACAGAAATAGAATTTTCAGTTATATGACACACCTATTACGGTCACTCTTTACTACATTGATTTTAATTTTGGTAGATATGAAAGAGCCAAATATTAGGCCTTACACTCTTTTCCTGAGTTTATATTTTTGTAAATATATTGTCATTTGTTTAACTTGTTACAAACTTGGTTCCAGAAGTGTATAAGCTTGGGAACCTTGATTTGAATATAAATTCTAGATTGACATTAAGCTGGCAAAATTCATTTTTTTTTCATAAATACTTATTTTTTTAATGTTTATTTTTTAGTTTTAGTTGGACTGAAACTATTTTATTTGTTCTTATGTGGTGCTGAGGACCAAACCCAGGGCCTCCCACGTCCTGGGTGAGCACTCTCCTGCTGAGCTACAACCCTAGCTCCGCCCCCTTTTTTCAAGTGTATAATCTAAATTTTATTATAATGTTGATCACAAATATGTATCCTTTAAAAACAGTAGCAAAAGAACCATCAACAACATACATGGAGAAATCCTTGCAAGTAAACACAATGTCTTAAGGTCTGGGACTCTGAGCATGCTGCCCACAGGCTGGAGGAGACATCTTCAGGTTTAAGGCAAGGGGAAACCTACAAAAGGCACAACCACTGGCTACCTCTGGAAGAATCTCTTAGTTATTTTCTTATTTTTATGATGGTACTTATTATTTTATTTTATTTTTTACTATTGAAGTTTATTTAACAAAAAGTTTAATATGAAAGTGTACATGACCCAATTTTCAAGTCATAGTTAAACAGGGCTTCTGGAGGAAGGACACAGATTTCTCTGCTGAACAGCCGTTATTTATACTGGTTCTAAGACTTCTAACATGATGATACTGTTTCCTCGTATTACCACCATTCCAATATTGTTCTGTTGTCCACTAGTTGCCATCTCCACACATTCATTTATTACAAGATTCATGAAGGGATCAAATCCCTGCAATATTCCTTGGACATGTCTGCCACCATTTAATTTCAATGATAACTTCTTGTCCATAAATTTTTTTCAGCTTGGTAGGTTGAGCCTTGCTCATATTGTCTACTCTTCAAGCTTAAAGCCGCTTTTTGGTACTTATTATTTTTATGATGATCTTAATTGTAATTATTTTTGAAGGGAGCAGTATGCAGAGGGGAAGATGAGAGGGGCTGCTCCAGGAAAGAAGACATCTGGTCTGCAACAGAAAAATGTTGAAGTGTAAGAAGCTCTTTGTTTTAATTTTGCATACTGTGTTATAATTCAAACTTAATGCTCACTATGTGTTAGACTTTATTGAAAGTGGAAACTTTTTGGCCAGGTATGGTTAACTCACATATGTAATCCAAGTTCCTCAGCTATTAGAAGGTTGAGATAGGAGGATTGCAAGTTTGAGGCCAGTCTGGGCAACTTGGTGAGACTTGTCTCAAAAAGTAAAAAGGGCAGGGGGTGTGACTTAGTGGTAGAGTGCCACTGTGTTCAGTTACCCAGTACCATCAACAAAAATAAAAATAAAAAACAATTTTGAACATGGTTAGAACTTAAAATCTAACCAAGACTAGTGTAGCCAACTTAGCAGGACTGTCTCAAAATAAAAAATTAAAAAAATTGGGAGCTCAGTGGTAAACTGCTCCTGGGTTCAATCCCCCAATATGGCCAAAAAAAGAAAAGAAACAATTTTTCAGAAATGCTTATTTTCTACTTCAATATTTTTCTTGGAAAAACAAGTCATTTTAATGAATGGTCGTGCACCACCCCCCACCCCACCCCTTAAGGGTTTTGTATTTTTTCAATTTTTTTTTTTTTTTTTTACAAAAAAGTTGTTGATGGTGTGTATATGGTGTTGTGTATGCTGTGATGAGAATCACAAAGCCTCACACATGTGAGGCAAGCCTTTACCACTGAGCTACACGCTCAGCCCCTCATGCACTTCTTGTTAAAGGGGGGAAAAAACGTGCTTTCAAGTGTGATTTATCTGAAGAATTTCTTTGAAACCAGAGAAATCTTTACTCATGGTTTTAGAGTTAACAGTCTTTTTTACTAAAGTCTTAAGTGTTAGTGATAAAAGGTAATTATACGTTTTGAGGGCCAGTAGTTTTAGTATTTTATTGTGAGAATATAATTAGTTTGGCAAGGATTAGATGTTATTTTTTTCAGGGTGATTCATATAAATATTCTATGTTCTGGTTCTTTGGAAAGTGACTGTGTAGTGTAGTATTCATTTGATTAGTGGTTGAGTTCTTAAAAGGCATTCATTTTCTTTTTTTTAAATAAAAATGGAGTTTTATCAGTAAGTAAAACTTCGGTTTATAATTAATTCTTTATCACTGTGCTAAAAGTTGGTATAGAAATCAAGTGGCAGTGTGCCTAAGATGGGGTTTTTTGGGTTTTTTTTGTATTTGAGTACAAAATGTTATGAATGACTGAGTAACTACATGAGGTAAAGTTTTTAAATTCAAAGTTCTCATCCTTGAAAAATGGAAACCTTGACAGTTGTCTACTGGATCTTTTAACTACTGAAGCAGGAGGATCCCAAGTTCAAGATTAGCCTGCCTAAACTTAGCAAGACTCTTAGCCTTAAAAATTTTTAAAAACAGGGAGGGGATTAAGGATGTAGCTCAGTGGTAAAGTACCCTGTGCTTAATCCCCAGTGCCACCCCTCATCCAGAAAAAGAAGCAATTAAATATGTTGGGGATTTTAAGGGTTATTATTATTCTAAGGATTCTTATTTTGCTTTGAGATTTTAATGACTTTGGTGTCCAGTTTTGTGCTAGTATCTTCAGTTTTTGGTAACTGTATATAGTTTTCTCTGAATACATACTAATACTTCCGGCTATTATAAAATACCTGGAGAATCAGATTTACATTCACTACTTTAGAAGTCTAGGTTTTTCATGTTTGGGTGCATGTTTCTCAATAGGGAATGTGAATTTTGTTGGCATTTAGGCTTAATGTAGTAGGTTGTGCTTTGGTGATTCATTTAGTGAGTCAAGAACTTAAACAAAATAGAATCTAATGGTTTCTGTTTTGATGATATAAATCAAACATCAGCAATTTATTGTATGAAACATTGCACATTTTGAGACACAAGTTTAGTTTACATGCTTCATTAATAAAAATGAGCAAGAATGTTGAAGCAGTAGTACATAGATAGCCCTTACTACTAGGATTCATTGAAGTACAGTTTATAGATTCTTCAGAGTTGAGATCAGTTGTGTCAATATTTTTAATTTTACAGAGAGTGAATAAAGATTGAATGTAAAATCTCTTTGTCTTCATCTATTGTTAGCATGTATAAGTAAATTTTATGTTTTATCTTGACTCAAATACTGTCCCCATAATATTGTATTATTATTAACGTTAACTTTACAGAGGCAGGGGAAAGCCTATACTTCAGATTTTTTTTAATAACCAAATGTAAGTTAATTTGATTTCTGGCAGGGGGATAACCCCAAGACCTATAGATCAGTAAAAACAAGATTCAGGTGTTATGATAAGATCCAACTAGAAGTGATGTATAATTGTAGATTATATTTGTCAATGGTTTTCTTTGTGTTTTGGAAATAATTATGCAAAGAGACAAAACTTTTATAATTTGGCAGATACAAATAGACTCAAATTATGTTGCTATTATAGATAGAGATACATCAGTTTGATAGAGGAGGAAAGTATAGTATTGAAAATGAGGGAATATAGTTTTAGGGGAAAAAAGTAAAAGTTTAGATCACTGGACTAACATAATTGGTGTTTAAGGAATGTACAAATCTAAAATCAAAAATTAGTGTTTTGGAAAGGAAAGCGAAAATAATTAAAGTATTATAGCTTTTAAAACTCCTTTTTTTTTTGGTGGAACTAATAAAAATTCTTAAACTTTTAACACACAATTCTGGAAGTATGTCTCCTAAAGCATTCTTGGCTTATTTTTTCCATTTTTGTGGAGGAAGATGAGAATTTAAACATCAATAAAAATACTTGTGTTTGAGCCTTAAACTATGATTTAAGTACCTCATCCATAAAGACAGTACTTTTTTGTGAATTTAATCACGATAAAGGGGAAGTCAAATAGTTTACTAGAAATAACTTTGTTTTTCTTTTTTCCCCCTCCTTTTAGGAAAACCAAAAAGAACAAACAGAAAAGTAAGAATATTAACTTTCTTTAAATTAACCTATTTTTGTCTTTATAGCATTTATATTTTAAATTCACTATTTTAAAAACTAACATTTTGAAGTAAGCTTAATATATCTATTAATGGTCTAAAATATGAATCTCCCTGGTAATGTTATAAATAGAAATGTACACAGTGGTAGAGGCCTAACTGATCCTTTTTTTTTTTTTTCCCCCACTGTGGAGAAACTTAAGGATTTCATTATTTTCATCTGCTTTAGTCTCATGTTTTTAATCAGTGGAAGATGGTGATATTATTAAGTATAGCCTGTACTAAATGTTTGGTGGAGATATTCATAAAAGTTGTTTCACGTAGAATTATGATTCTTAGATTCAAATAACAAGCCATGTGATGGAGAAATAATGAAGGCATGTTAAGAGTTTGTTTCTATAGAGTTTCTTATTTTATTTGCTTACCTCTCCCCTGCAATCCCCCCAACCACCCTGCCAATCCCCACCCCTTTTGTAGCACCTGGAAATGGAGATGGTGGGAGTACCAGTGAGACACCTCAGCCTCCTCGGAAGAAAAGGGCCCGAGTAGATCCCACTGTTGAAAATGTAAGATTTTTTTAAGTTTTTTAATAGCCTGTTAGATTTCTAGTCTAAGTCACAACAAGAAGTAATCATAGAACTTTGGTTCCCCAAAGCATTGTTAACATGCTTAACTAATGAAATTTCCTATTTTGGGGTAAGGATATATTTGTATGTATCTTTGTTTCCATGTGTAGCTCTAGATTATCCCTACCTTCAATTTGTCATCAGTGTTTAAGACTATGTGTTAGATTGGGTAGACCTACGGGGTCACAATAGATGGTTTATTAAATTTCAGCATGGTTTAATAAAACCATGGCAAATACTATGAAATCCTATGAGTTTCACATATGTGTGCATGAATATAATAGTTTTAGGATTCCTACTTAAGTAGTATAGTAATGTGTTTTCTTGTTATATATAATATGCAAAGTTAGTGAATTTGTTAATAAGAGTTCTAATTGACATAATATTACTGAAGTTGAAGTTTCTAAGTAACAATAGTTACTAGCTATTAACTTACTAACTTACAAACATTGGTATGTTCTGAAAATAAGTACTTTGGGACAGATTTTGAAGACAACTTTTATGAATTAATGATGTTCCTTTATAGTTGTATTGGAGTGTTCATGTGAACATTAGCAATGAATGGGAAAACTAAAAACTAAGCCAAAATGCTCCATTTCCAAAAGAGGAAATTCACCAAGAATTTTTACCTTAACATAAACATGCACTAAAAAGTCTTTAAGAGTTGTTGTTAAGCAAAGAAAGGTTTTATTTTTATTTCCTCTCTTTTTTTTACTAGGAAGAAACATTTATGAACAGAGTTGAAGTTAAAGTAAAGATTCCTGAAGAGCTAAAACCATGGCTTGTTGATGACTGGGACTTAATTACCAGACAAAAACAGGTAAGTTGAAAACTAGACAGATTATAAGCTCTGTGCTATGTACTTGTGAGCACAAAGAAGATGATACTTGAATTTTGAAGCACGACTGATAAATAATATTTTATTTGAGAGACTGAAAATTACTTCAGAAAAAAAAGCACTTGGAAAGGAATAAAATATGTAATTATTTTATGACAATTTTAAAGAATGTTGGATATAGCTGATATTTGGAGGTTGCTGGGGCTGGAATTCATCCAGAAAATTAGGAGAATCTTTTTTTTTTTTTTTTGGTCTGTCATTGGAAAATGAAAGATCTGCACATAGCATTCTCTGTAGAAGAACCTGAATCTCATTAAGGTTCTAGGACTCATTTTCTACTTTATATGATGGGACTGTTGAGTAGAGAGGGACATGTTAAACCTCACAATAGTTACTTAAATGCAGAATGAGAACACATTAAGTGATTTCTTTAAACAGACAAATGGTGTAGGTAGGGCGAAGGTTATGGATGACTGATGATTGTGAGACTCAAGAGACTATAGATGATGTGGTCTTGCTCTGAATTCTGATTTGTTGGGAGGATTATACAGCTGCAGCTAAGCTATCAAAATTTAAGCTATGGCTCTCCTACTTAATAGCCATGGCCTCAGACAAGCTCCTTGGTCATTTTGTGCCTTTGTTTTTAATACATTTAGTGGAATAATAGTCCCTACCTCATAGTATTGATAACCAGGACAAGAAAGGCAGTTCTGTTACTGCTTCAGAGTGAGTCTAGCACATAAAATGCTAACAGTTAATAATGCCTTCATAATATCATTGAAATGTGGTGTATTCTATATGTATGACCAGCAGATTTTCGGTTTTAGAGTTGTATCTTCAGGGGCTTGGGATATAGCTCAGTTGGTAGAGTGCTTGCCTCAAATGCACAAGGCCCTGGGTTCAATCCCCAGCACCCCCTCCCCCCAAAAAACCAAAGCTGTATCATCAGTAATGATAGTCACTAGCTTATGTAATTGGAGCTAAATATAATGAAGATTGTAGTTCTTAGCAGTGTTATCCATGTTTCAAGGGCTGAATAATAATGCCTTCTCCTATTTTGAAACTATGTTGCATGAAAGCTTACCAGTATGATTTTTCACAGAAAAAGAATATTTTTATTTACGTAGATTTTTGTTTTGTTTGCATAGCTCTTTTATCTTCCTGCGAAGAAGAATGTGGATTCTATTCTTGAGGATTATGCAAATTATAAGAAATCTCGAGGAAACACAGATAATAAGTAAGAATCAACCCCTTTAATACTCAGAGAATCTTTTCTTAAGTATTTTTATTCCCAAATAATCTCCAAAGTTATATTTTTTGAATATTAGTACCATTAGTAGAATTTCACTGGTTTTATTCAGGGGCTGGCAAACTTTTCCTAAAGGTTCAAATAGTGAATATTTTAGGTAAAATTGAAGCAGTTGTATAGGTACTTATGGAATCATTTAAAATTTAACCATTTGAAATTATAAAAATCCTTTTATTTTGAGGGCCAAACTTGGCTTCAGCATATTTCTGAAACTTATTTTATGTATCCTTGTTAAATTTTTTATTTAAAAAAGAAAAAAAATCTCTCTTAGCACTAGTTTGTTGTCACTACTAGTTTGACCTTGAATTCCTTACCCTTGTGTTGGTTGGATTAATTTCTTTTTCAGTTTTCGGTGACCAGTTGTGGAAATAAATGGTTTTTGTTCATTTTCAGGGAGTATGCTGTTAATGAAGTTGTGGCAGGAATAAAAGAATACTTCAATGTAATGCTGGGCACTCAACTGCTCTACAAATTTGAGAGACCACAGTATGCTGAAATCCTTGCAGATCATCCTGATGCACCCATGTCCCAGGTGTATGGAGCACCACATCTACTGAGATTATTTGGTAATATACCTTTTGGAAAATGTGATTTTATTTATTAGCTTTTAATAATTTTTTTGTGTTCCCTAAATGAGTGAGGGGTAAAATCATTAACATCCTAAACCCTGACTATAGGGGTTAGGGGTATGGCTGAGTGGTAGATTGCTTGCCTACCATGCAGGAGACCTGGGTTTAATGCCCAGCACCACAAAAATGGGAGGGACAAATCTGCACAGGTTCATTGCAATTTGAACTCTTGTCTAAAGGTTAAATAGCAAAACTTGTTTGAAAATCATGTAATTTTTAAATTTTGATGGTTGGATTTGCTCACATAATTGAACTGGGATTATGTTGCTGCTTTATATATAACTTTGCTAAATTCTTTTGTTTCTGTAGTACGAATTGGAGCAATGTTGGCCTATACACCTCTGGATGAGAAGAGCCTTGCTTTATTACTGAATTATCTTCATGATTTCCTCAAGTAAGTTTAAGTATGGTTGAAATTAGACGCAAGAATTGGTATGATATACTAAAAATTGGTGAGATAGGAGAGATTGATACTAATTGCTAAAAGAATGTAGATAGGTATTTAATGGAACAAATGATAGAGTTGGCATATAAGTGCTTAAATCTCAAACCTATTAAGATAATTTTAAAAATGTAGAGTAATATTTTCATATTCTGGTACTGTTGTGTATAAAAGAATTACCTTTAATTCACAAAGAAGACATGTTTTCTTTATTCAATAAAAGGATGAACAAACCAATGAAAAGTATGTCACAAGAGATTTATAGAAATGGCAGTAGTAGAAGGGATCATTAAAGCATATTCAACAGTGTAATAAAATAGAAATTGTTGATCAGTAAAGTACCTCTTGTTACAGGTGTTTCCCCATTTCTTTAATCTCAGTTTAAAAGATTGAAGAAATGGGCTGGGAATATAGCTCAGTTGGTAGAGTGCTTGCCTCACATCCATAAAGCCCTGGGTTTAATCCCCAGCACAACAAAAACAAACAAAAGATTGAAGAAATGTAGAAAAGGGAAATACTGGTTGCTACATCTTTGGAAAGAGCATTTTTTATAACAGTGAATTTTAAACAACCAAGCAGCTGTTAAATGATGAGGTTGCTCCAAATACTGGTAAGGAAAGATAGCAATGTTGTCAGTTGAAGGAAAATTAAATTTTTTAGTAGTGGTGAGGCGTGGTATAATTCCCCTCATTTGGTGAGAAACATTTCAATTTTTGCAAAACATTTGATTTTCCATATATGAGTCACAGTTAATTATCTTGAGCCTACTGGTAGGAAAAGTTAGTGTTTTTATTTTCTACTTTGAAAACTTCTATACTTGGATTTTTGCACAATAACCATGCATTTTATTTCAAAACAAAACAAAACATTGTAACTGCAACATGGACCTGGGGAATCCATGGCCTTTGTTCTGCCAAAGATAATTATCTTCTCTGGACCTTAATTACTTAATATTATGGTTCTTGGGGATCAAAGCCAATGTGCCTCTCTCATGCCAAGGAAGTGCTGTGTCACCCAGGTACACCCTCAACACTTTTTATTTTGAGACTTGGTTGTGTTAAGTTATATTCTTGAACCTGTGTTCCTCTTGCCTCAGCCTCCTGAACTGGGATTATAGGCATGTACCACCATGCCCAGCTTTAGTTTCCTTTGAAAGCAAAAATTTACTACCATTTGAAATTTCAGGTTCTTTTTTTGTGGTGTGAATTTTAAGTTTAAGCTTGATTTACTTGTAAATTTCTGAGTCTATACTTAAGAATATTGAAGGACTGAAAGCAATATCTACAGTATTCTTTTTGGATAATACTGCCATATAATAGGATAATAGCTGTTTCTTAATTGTTCAAAGTTGATGAAGACAAAAATTCCTCCTTGTTTAGAAATGAGGAAGGGTACTTTATTCTTTATAGCTGTATGTTGTATGATCTCTTTGCCTGGATTATAATTAATGTGGTTTTTCTGTGAAGTAGTGATTATTATTTTTAGTAAAATGTAAATAGGCTTATGTATATTCCATGTTATGTAGGAAGAGATTTGTATCAAGATAAGATTTTTAAAAATTTGTTAATGAATAATATCTAATTTTTAGGTACCTGGCAAAGAATTCTGCAACTTTGTTTAGTGCCAGCGATTATGAAGTCGCCCCTCCTGAATACCATCGGAAAGCAGTGTGAGGAGGTGTACTTCATTCACTTGTGTTTGGATCTCTGTAAACACATTTTTGTTCTTAGTCCTTCTCTTGTACAAATGATGTACTTTGAAGATGTTAGTGTATAACAAAATTGATGTTTGTTTTCTGTTTGAATTTAAACAGAGAAAATAAAAGGGGTTACTGCTCCTTTTTTCCTTTCTTTCTTTTAATTTCATTTCAAAGTTGCTACCAGTGTATTCAATGATGGACAACAGAGAGACATGCTGTAGAGTGTTTGCCTAGTTGACAAAGCTGCTTTTGAATGCTG